ACTAGCATATGTACATATATACTAACGTCTCAATTTTGTAGAAAGGAGAAATAAAATCATAACAAGATAAGCCGGGATGTCTCCTAACAGTAGCCACCGCATGAACGCAAATAAATTGATCCAATTAGAATTCACAACATGTCCATGTTTTGTCCTTTAAACTCATATGGACATGTTGACTTTAAATGCATAACAAAAAAATAAAAATATGCAATGGTTAATATGCAATTAAAAAAATTCATGATAGTCCAACAAAGTATGTAATGTGGATATTACCAGTGTCATAATATGTAATGTGGTGATGAATATTACGAATCATTGTAATGTAAAGTGTCACAGTATGTAATGTGGTAATGTGTATTACAAAGAGTTGTAATGTAGACGGGGCAGATTGTGAATTGTGACACGGAAAGGAAAAAGAGGGCAAAATCGGGAGAGAAAGAAAGAATGTGGCGGGAGAGGTCCTATTTGGGGGATAAAAAACATGAACTCCTATTTTAGGGATAAGCACAATGTTTTAGTCCTATTAGGGGTGATTTCTAATATGCTTACTCAGCTTCACCGCTGAGCGTGTAGTGTGTTTTGTTTGCTACACGCAAGTTAATAGAAAGAATGATGTGACGTGATCCTGGAGGCAGACGGAGGCGAGATTGTCGGAATGGATGTGATGGTTTCGAATTAAAGAACATAAATAAATTATGTTTTTTGATTGTGTTTTGTTAAGCTTCCACAATATTAAAAACTTCGTACTGTTATGTTATGAAAAATATTAGTGTGATAAATAAAAGTGTTTGAAATGTTCTAAATTTTTACGATTACCAAGTTAATACTTTAGTCCGAAAGGGGCTGCACACCTGAACGGATTGGAGTGTTACAATCTTCATATGGTCGAGGCAATTAATGAGGATGATACGACTACAATGACTTCTTGGTTCTGAGCTTTGATCGAGGATTGTAGGGCTCTTTTGAATTCTTTTGATTTTGTGTATTGTTTTTTTTGATCCTCGTACATGAATTACATCTAATTATATAGCTCATGAACTTGCGAGACATGTTGAGGATCTTCCCATGCAAAGGAAATCAACCCTCCCAAATTTCTGTAACGTCTAATCTTCGAATTGAATGAAAGCTTGTTACACATTTTAATTTCATAAAAAAATTTTAAAAAATTTTAAAAATCACGTAAAATAAATGAAAAGTTTAATGGAATACTTTAAAATGTGAGAAATACTTTAAACTATAATATTTTTTGAAAAGTTTTTAAAATATACTCCGGGGTAATTAAAAAATAGAAAAAGTGAGAATTTGGAGGACTCCATATTCTAGATTTTAGAAGGGATTGTGAGTGCTGTTACCGGGAAAGTTATACTGATGCGACGCGCTCACACTGGAAGAGTTGCACTTAAATACAGAGTGCCCCCGGCGAGCTCTCTTCATCCCATTCTCAAGCCTCTGAGCTCTTCCCCTTTCTCTCTCTCTCTAGAACTAGACCTAGAATAACTCTCTCTCTCTCTGAGTTTCACCGGCGGCGTCCGCTCAAATCGGCCAAATGGAAGTCGAAACCCACTCTCCGGCGACCTTCAATGTCGTCGACTCCGGCAGCCGCGCTTCCTATTCCTCCTTCATCGATCCACCGAAGCTCTGCACCTCGGGGTTCCGGCGCTCCGCCGACAGCTTCGGACGCGAGAAATTCGACGATGGCGACCTGGATTTCGCTGCCTTCGATAATGTTGGCGGCAACAGTAGTTCTCAGTCCATTTTGCGTTCTGAATCGGGGTTTTACGCTGCAAATGGTACCGATCGTAGCGGCTTTGCCTCCTCCGGAGCGGTGGAGGCGGAGGACAAGCTGCAGAGGTGCACGTCCAACGCCGCTATGAAGGTGCAGAAGGTGTACCGGAGCTACCGTACCCGGCGCATGTTAGCAGATTCTGCTGTGGTTGCTGAAGAGCTCTGGTGAATTTCTTTTGTTTTAATTTTTTTTTTAGCTCTCAAATATTATATAAAAACCCTGATCGACAAACGAATTTTCTAATAAACTCCTTTATTTATTTATTGTGGCTTGAAGGTGGCAAGCTCTTGACTATGCTCGATTGAATCACAGTACAATTTCATTCTTCAATTTCTTGAAACCAGAAACAACCACTTCTCGCTGGAATCGAGTTAGGTTAAATGCTTCAAAGGTACTCAACATTAATTACTGCCTTTTATTGCTCGATATGCTCCATAAGCACATGTTTTGTGCTGGAAATTGGAAACCACACGACCCATTAGATTTTGATCAGTCTCTTTATTCTAATCTGCAACTACTGTTGAAATCCTGGATTGAAATGAATTTGAAATGACATGGGCAGGTGGGTAAGGGCTTGTCTAAAGATGAAAAGGCTCAGAAATTGGCATTTCAACATTGGATTGAAGCGGTAACTTTGTTAATATATAACAAATTTCCCCTTTTCTGTCGACTTTTTCCTTTTCTATTGCGAAATTGCGCTGCACTATAATTAACTGCATTGCCTGATCTTGATGTGTTCCCATTTCAGATTGACCCACGACACCGTTATGGGCACAATTTGCATTTTTACTATGAAGAGTGGTGCGTGTCTGATTCGGGCCAGCCGTTTTTCTTTTGGTAAGTATACTGAAAAATATACGGAGTATTTCCGATGTTACGTTCTTTGCTGATATGAAACGATTGAGTACGCATTTGATATGTTGGTTGTGATTCCAAGAATGACACAATATGAATCAAGCATAAGCAAAACTGTGTTCAAATTGGTCTGGTTTCTGTCCAAAAAGTTTAATTTGTAATCTATGAATTGAATTAGTTCAGCTAGTTCTTATTTATTATATAGTCCTCCTAGAACCCAGACTCTTCTCCTGGTGCAGGTTGGATCTTGGAGATGGTAGGAAGGTTGATCTGAAAAAATGCCCAAGGTCAAAGCTTCAGCAGCAGTGCATTAAATATCTTGGACCAGTAAGTCAAGTTTTGTTAATTCACTTGTTTAATTGCATTCCTACATAATTAATTATCATTAAATCAGGCTGTTTGGGTAGTGTTTCCATTTGCCTACATTTATTCACCTTCTTTAAGACTGTAGAAAGCATGAAGTTAATTAGTTGTTGATATGCTTGTCCCCATGATCCCCCTATTCATGGGTGGGCTATTCAAGCATCTGGTCCCTAACTTTTTTTCTTTTTATCCATATTCAGCAAGAGAGAGATCATTATGAATATGTAGTTGTTGAGGGGAAAGTTGTGAATCATCAAACAGGAAAGCTTCTTGATACAACCAAAAGTTCACCAGGGGTTAAATGGATTTTTGTGATGAGCACCACCAAAAAGCTCTATGCTGGGGAGGTAAAGGACAACAATATCCTTTTCTTTTCTTCTTTAATTTTTAGGATGATGCTTAACTTTTAGCCTACTATATTCCTCTAGATTCTTATTCCTTGAATTATATTATTTTATTCAGAAAAAGAAGGGAATATTTCACCATTCAAGTTTCCTTGCTGGTGGGGCTACTTTAGCTGCTGGGAGACTTGTGGTAGAAGATGGTACACCTAAAGTGAGTACCTCATCTCATTTACTTCAATTTATTTCTGATTGAATAATCGGTTGGTGAAGATAAGGATTTGCTCTATGCCTTCATGACTCTATCTAAATCATCCATCTTTTCTATTTTCACTGATGTACAGTTTGCCAACACACCATTTTTACCATTAATAATGTTTTTCACTTAATTATTTGTAAAATTTATATCGAAAAAAGTTGATATTTTTCAAGAAAAAATACGCATTGGGAGAGAAATTTAAGAACATGTAACATTGTAAGACTTGTTTTTATACCATTCATTTGTATTATATTCACCCCTTCTTATGAACATGAGTTTTGCTACTTTCAGTGTATTTCACCCTACAGCGGACACTACCGGCCAAGTGATGACAGTCTCAACACCTTTCTGTTATTTCTCAAGGAAAACGGTGTCAACCTTGATGAGGTTCAGGTAACAGATTTCACCCGGCCTGATGAATGGCTTTCACCATATATACAATTGTCAAATCCAAACATTATTGGACTCTTTTTTACCAGTATGTATCTGTAAATATTTTTTTGTGCGTAATCACATCAGATTAAGAAGGCGAACGAAGAGTATGAGAACTACGAAGAGCAGCGAAAGGCAACCAATAAATCTACTCCTAAATCTGAAATCCCAACGCATTCGGCTCCTCCACCACCACCACCACCACCGCCGTATATTCCACCAAACGAGGAGAATAGAGTCATGTCCATAGAATCGCTGGCGAAGTTGCTGCTGCCCCCAACAGCACCCGTGCCTGTTCCTGCACATAATCCACCTACTGCCACCTACAAAAGGACACTCTCTGGGGGCCTTCAGGGCCTGATGACTGAGGTCCCAAAGACTGCAATCCTGAGGAGGATCAACTCGAAGAACGCGTCAAGCTCCTACCAGTTGGGGCAGCAGCTGTCGCGGACATGGTCGACCGGTGCTGGCCCGCGGATCGGGTGCGTTGCTGATTACCCGGCCGAGCTCAGGTCACAGGCCTTGGAGCTCACTAACCTCACACCCAAACCCGCTCCTGGATACCCGGGCCTCATTTCGTCCGCAGCCCGTGCCTCGTCAGTCCCACTCTCATACTTTTTACTCCCTTAAAACAAATGCTTTTCTCTCCGTCGTCGTCCCCGACCTCCACATATGTTTTGAAGCTGTTGTGTACTTTTTTCCTTTGTGTTTAATTTGTTGTGCCTGCATGCATGTTCCTGCTCCTGGGGAGTGAGCAGAGGTTAATTAATTAGTATTGTAGTATTTGTCTGGCGTATGGACTTGTCATGTAACTTGATGAAAAATCTCACTATCGATCTTTCTCGTAGGTTTTTACTCTCCGTATTAGTGTGTAGCATTGGGAAATAAAAGGCTGGTGATTTTGGTGATTTGACATACATATATTAGTGCGAATTTACTCATTGTCTTATCGCTAGTACTTTTGAATGATGAGATTAGACGTTGGCCTGCTTCGTATCTATGGCCCCGTTTGGCATCAGCGTTAGAGATTAGCGTCAGCGTTTTGAAAAGGCTATCCGACGTTTGCTTTTAGCGTTAGCGTTTTCAGAATTAATCTACACCATTAAAATTTTATTCAAAACGCTAACGCTAATAAAAAAACGATGTTCCCAAACAAGGCCTATATCTTCTTGTATCTCTTCGATCAATCATATCCCCCATCACATTTCACATTTGTATAAACCGGACTCGACTTGTTTTTATTAAAACGGTCCGAGGCGGAGCTGGTTTTCAAAATTTTAAAATTGAAACCAGACCTAACCCGACTCGTTTGAAATGGGCCGATTCCACGGGTCAACAATCCGAACCTATCATGATACTAATATTTAAAAAAATGAAGTGATAATAAATTAATAATACATATATGGTCATTCACCATTAGTCTACAACAATGTACTATCCTCATTGTCAATTTTAAGTCATCCAACACAAAAAAGAGACCTAAGTGAAGACAAAACAATGACAAAGAGGAGCATGAAAGTAAAGTGTACACCTCATGATCATCCAACAACAACAACAAATTGTTTGGTGACTTCCGACTCTCTGACTACTGCGAAAGATTGAAGGGCGTAACTCGATCGCAAGGCTAAGGCTGGTGTATTTACCAAAAGTAATACTGGGGTATCAAAAAATAGTCCGGTCCGGGTCCAATACAATTTCAAAATGGGGAACCGGACCGACCCTAAAATCTCTAAGGACCGGACCGACCCGGACCGTTATAAATTTTTGAAAAGAGGACCCGCCCCTAACCCGGACCGAACCTAGCAGTTCGGTTCCGAGCCCCAGTTCCTTGACCCATTTGCCCACCCCTAGTTAAAAGTGGGTTAAGCACCCGTACCCCGTAATACTCCATTTCTTGTTTAAATGTACAATTTTAGCATAAGGTGTTTTTCTTACATCCGTGTGAATATTTATTTATGAATAAATATTCTTAGCCCGACCGAGGTCGAGTTTCTGGCCAGACCGTGGAATTTTCTTGGCCCGAGCCTAGAGGTACCCGCGGGCTTTGGGCCGGACCGGTCTGCATGGGCAACAACTTTTAAATAATTAAAAATAAAATTTGTTAAATAAAGTAATGTACTAATATACTCTATTAATGTTGTCTTTATTATTGTTTTAATGGAGTTATAGTAATAATAGATATTAATACTCATTCAGGCCGGCCATGGGCTTGAGCATAAAGCCCAAGTCCGGCCTTAAAGTAATGGGCCTCCGCTTATAAAGCCATAACCCGGCTCGTACTCTAAAATGTCAAGCCCCAGCTCATTCTTTTGCGGGCAGACTTTTGCTAGCGAGACGGGTATCGGGTCCGTATTTGGATATATTTATGAGTAATAGAGTAGCAAACTATGTTGCATATAGGAGTAAAACATTGTCTGTTTCTCTAAATAAGACCTCCTAATTAATTATTAAGTAATAATATTCCGTTACTAAAATACCCTTAAGCATAATCATTATTTAATGCTCCGTATTAAGCGTAAACCTAAAAACTACTCTCAATCTTGCATGCGCCTACTCTCAATCTTCCTTTTTTTTTTCAACTAGTATTTCTACCCGTGCGATGCACGGGGTCGACGAAATTTTTGTCGATTCTGATTTTTTTTAATGCAATATATTTTCCGGATCAAATAAATATATTTCTAACACGATTTTTTATCATTGGACAAAAACACCAAGGTAGAATAAATAATATTTGAGGAATTGAAAATATACTCAAAAATGTCTTTTTTAATTCCAAACATGTTGGCATGAAGAATAAGAAATTAAGTACTACTTTTCACCTCATGGAATAAAGGATAAGACAAATTCATTTACCATTCAACAACTTCGAGCACGGGTGTCAATAGTGCACTATCTTTAAAAAAGAATATAATAGTTTTTTATGTTCTCGAATAAGTTTGGATAAGTGAAGTTCACTATATTCTTGAGGAATAACTTGTGTTAAGAATCAAGATCTTTAACTATTAGAGCACCAACTTCATGTATTGTGGAGATATTATTATTTCTTGAGTCTCTTGTTTTACTTGTCAACAACATCAATGATACATTAGAAGTAGGCTCATTATATATGAAAGATTACTTCTCAACCGCCTCAATGATACATTAGAATTAGGCTCATTATCCATGAAGTCTTTAGTTCTTCTAAATATCTGTGTTAAAACATTATGCTCATCTAC